CAGTTGTCGTTTATTCCATTCTCCCCACGTGCCTGTTCCAGCCTCTCTGAGCCCCCATTCTAGTCTCACTCTGCCCCTCATTCCCATCTCGTCCTGTCTCTCTCGCTCATCTTTTCACCCTCCAGCTGGCAGCCCTGCTCTCTCCTCCCCTCCAACTCTCTCTTCTCTCCTGAGCAGGTAGCAAAATCAACATAAGAAAGCCCTTCCTGGGGACCGAGTGATAGCACAGCGGGTTGGGCGTTTGGGCGTTTGCCTTGCATGCGGCCGACCTGGGTTCGATCCCGGCATCCCATATGGTCCCCCAAGCACCGCCAGGAGAAATTTCTGAGTGCAAAGCCAGGAGTAACCCCTGAGCATTGCTGGGTGTGACCCAAAAAGCAAAAAAAAAAAAAGAAAGCCCTTACTGACTGCCCATCAGCCTCATGGGGAAACACCACCTAGGGGTGTTCCGTGTTCCTCTTCTCCTTAGTCCAATAACTTAATTAACGTCTTAATTCTACTTCTTAATATTATTTATTTTTGTATGAACACAGTAAGAGATACATTGAGGCTTGTAGGGTGGCTCTCCTGGGAACATCTTGCCACAGACTCAGACTACGGTGCTCAGGCCAGATTAATATTTCCTAACCCTAGCAGGGTTCGAATCTAGTTATTACTTTTTGGATCCTGACAGTATTTGTCCATGACCAAGCTCTTGACTTATAGCTAAGCATTATGGCACTTTCACCAGGCCCATTTCAGTGCCAGGGTAGCACACAGCTCACAGCTTGCCCTGGGTCCTTCCAGTGCCTCGTTGGGACCCTGCTTTTGGGATGCTAGGTGTAGGATAACATTGATTTGTCCTTTCTCCCTTGCCACAAGGAACTTAGGTCACACCCACCACAGTACCTCCGAGTCACTCCCATTCCTCTGTGCTTCTGTAACTTCTCTCTGCGCTCTTCCCCAACCAGTTAATCAGCTTTCCCCCATAATCAGACTCTGTTCATTTGTAAGGTCAGATCGTTCGAGGGCACTGAGTAGGTTAATATTGCTTTTCTCCTCTCCTTATGTCTTTTGAATAGTTTACTTTAAGGCAATGTCCTTTTGTATAGACACAGGAAGATAGTTAATATGCTTTTGAAACTTGGGATTTAATTGGCTTCGAGTATTATTCACTCCCGGGGATCTGCTTTCTTGACTTAAGCCTCAGTTACTCTTAGTTCCTAGCACCCCAAAAGCAGGGTCCTTGATGATGGACTGAATGGACCCAGGGCAAGCGGCGAGCTACCCTGGCATCAAAATGGGCCAGGCCAAAGTGCACTATACTCAACTATAAGAGCTTGGTCATGGACAAATGCTGTCATGATCCAAAAGTAACGATGAGATCAGGACCCTGCTAGGGACAGGAAAGACTAATCTGCCCTGAGCACTGTAGTCTGAGATTGAGATGGCCCCAGGAGAGCAATTCTATGGCCGACCCGAGTTCGATTCCTCCGCCCCTCTCGGAGAGCCCGGCAAGCTACCGAGAGTATTCGATATGCCAGACACAGCGACAACAAAGTCTCCAATGGAGACGTTACTGGGCCCGCTCGAGCAAATCGACGATCAACGGGAGGGCCTTTACCTTTTACCTTTAATGTATCTCTTACTGTGTCCATACAAAATGATTAATATTATGAATGTTTATATGTTTGTTGGACTAAGGAGAGGAGAAACACACCCATAGTTGAAATTTCAGTCTTGGGAGAGCCATCTTGCTGGATGAGAATCTGTTCTAGAAGAATCTTCCCCTGAGGAAAGGATTTTATGTCCGTTGGTTGTGACCACACCTATGTGTAAGCCCCAAGCCCTCATGCTTTGGGATTTAACTAGGCTGTACGAGGGCGCTGGGGGATCCAGAGCAAGAAGGAGACTGAAGTGGGATCGAGAAGGAGAATGAAGTAGCCTGGGGGAGGAAGAAGCAGGAGGAGAATCAGAGGAGAATGGAGATGGGAATGGAATAAACTACAACTGACACCAACCAGCCTGGCCCTCGTTTCCTTCCTTCGCCTCCCTATCGCCATCAACCTCCTCAGGGTGGGGGAAGCGGCCTGAGAGTACCAAACGCAGGCCAGGTGCAGGCAGAGGGAGAGATAGAGCGTTGCTGTTCTTGTGTTTATGCGGCTAGGAATAAGGGCAACTGAGGCTTAGGTTGAGAGAAGAGATGCCCAGAAGGTAACTATCATTGAAAGTCAATTAACTCCTGGGTTACAAAAGCATAGCATTAAACTGTCTTCTTGAGCCCATAAGAAAAGGACATTGTTCTGAATTAACAATGCAAAGAACTTAAGGAGAAGAGAAAAACAATATTTGCAAGTCAACAGAGCACAAAGAAAGAAGTTACAAATAAACAGAGGCATGGGAGCACTGTGATGGGAGCAACCCAATAAGACTAAGCTCCCTGCAGCAAGGCAGAAAGGACAAACTAATGTTATCCTACACATATATATCTTATACCTCACAAATAATACATATTTTAAAATCCTCAGGACAAAATAATAGGTATTTAAAAATCCTCACGACAAACGTAGACTTTTAGCACTTTTAAACTGCTTGGCTCATACATATTATGTAAACACTTGTATACCTTAAAAGGTAACAAAAATGGTTTCATTAATAAAAATTAAAAAAATAAAAAAGCAAAAAATGACATATTATCTCTAATTCATGAATGGTAAAACAGAGACCAACACCATATTAGATGAAGAACATCATCTAATGCTTTCATTTTACCCCCTTCCGGTTTCGATTTAGGTATAAAACAAGGAAGAACTAGACAGTTTGCTTGGGTATTTATTGGCCTAATTTCCCTTTACCTCTTTCATTTGATACCTTGAATCAGATGCTGATGAAAATAGCTGAAAACAACTGAAGCCAGCTTATTTCTGGTCAAGTACATGAATTCTCCTCATTTGATTCTCTTACAAATAAACCTAGTATTATTTCCACGATACACAAAAAAATTGAGATTCAGTGGAGTTAAGAAACTTGTCTCAAAGTAAATTAGAAGTTAACAACCGCTGGGGGTAAAGGGAGACCAGGGGATTATTGCGCATGAAATCATGTTTATAGAAAGTACAAAGCTAAAATGGCAAGGGAAGATTATTTTTATTTTATATAATTTATATTATTATAATTTATTGTTAAATTTACTATTAAATTTCTGGTTTCTCACCACATGAACCTCCCCTTCCTTCCCCACTTGAAGTAGCTGGTAGTGGACCAGATAATATCAAGTGAGGGTCAAGCAGAAATCCTTATTCTTTCCATTGATTATGTTCTGATTCTGAAAAGGCAAATTCACAGCTATTTTGGATTCACACACAACGCAATTTCCTGGTTTAAAATCCGGAGCAAGTTGAAATCCACTGTGCCTGGAAGAATGAGATCATAAAGATGACAAAATGACAAAATCTCAGGTTCTGCTGTTACTTCGAGGGTGCATGACTACAGAGTTTTAAGTACTTTCTAGGCTTCCGACAGCATCATTAAACCGCTCCCTTTCATCTGATCATATTCCTCAACTTCCCAAGGCCAATTTTCCCCCCAAGAATCACTTCAGCAGGTTAGGAACGTTTTTGACAGAACAAAGTCCAGTGATCAATTCCATGACCTCGGAGGCTGGATTAGACTAGATCTTACAGACTGAAACGCAGTAAGATTGTCACATAGCTCTGTAGTTTTTCTTAAGATCAGATGGAAGAAAAACAATTCTTCAAGCGAGTTCTTTATCTTTCTGGAACACCAAGGAATACGAAGATTAGCTGAACAGAGAGAAAAGTCTGAGCAGGTTTTGTATAGCTGATGCTGTTTGATGATGACTCACTGAGGACAAATGAAGGACAGGCACTCTTCACTTACAGAGCATCTTTATTTGATCTTTAATACACAATATCACCTTTTATCTGTAAAAATTACATATTGAGAACATGATGGGAAGTCCATTCAGGAGTGGATACCCCCACTAAGCAGGTTATACTTACCCCACTTGTTAGCTAACAACTGGATTTGAGACCAGTGAAACCGAAGAATGGCAATTCAACTTTCAAATCCAGAAATTAAAATCTTGGGATACTTCATTAATTAAAATAATCATCCTATTTCTAAACATTCCTTAAAAGGATAATTTCAAAGAGCTAGACTTTTTGTTCTTCATAGACTTTCCCAAGAGACAATTTGGAGGAGAATTTTGTAGCATTCAAATAGCAACAAGGCTTTTACAACTAAAGCCCTCTGCATATTCACCTGTTTGTGGGTAGGTTCAGATGTGTGTTCGCTCTATTCACGATGAGCTACACAATCTGTACAGTACGTCAGACCTAGAATGACAACTCAGGTATGTGCTTCCTTGATCACTCTTGATACAGGCTCTCCCTCCTTTAGCATTTCTCAAAAATAGTATAATGCTTTGATAAAAATTCTTAGTAAAAAAAAAAAGGTCTGTTCTCTCATGATTGATGCAATTGCACCAACAGGTGTTGTGTTCTTTTGTGAGTGATTTCATGCATTCTACATCGCAAACCTGGTTTGATATGTGTTAGCCGTTAAACCGTGGAAAACCAAGACTCGAGATTGAGGAATGCTTCCATTTAAGTATCAATGTCAAATCAACTCGAAATAACGCAACTGACTTATATAGGAGCTGAGGCGAATTACGAGGGAGATACAGCTTTCCTCTGTACTCCTTGAATTTGGGCTGTTACAAAGGTGAGATCTCGGACAGGTGTTCTGCAATCCGAAAAGGGAAAAATGACTGTCCAGAAGAAGTGAGGTACACAACACATTTTGGGTTGTTTAGCTTTTTGCAAAAGACTAGTTTCCACAGTACAAAGATCAGAAATTCCATCATATTCTTGTCTTAGGGCTCTAAGAGTACTTGAGTGGAGAAATTCATGTAGATCAAGCAACCCAGAGGCATGATCTAATGACCAACAAGCAGGCAGAACTGGGAGAGAATATAATTGGACACCACAAAGACAATCCCCGCTGGGACTCCAAATGACTCTGAACAATGTCCCTGAACAACAAATCAAGGATACTGGCTAACAGCACATCCCGAGAACAAACATTTGCCTCTTTTGTGATAATCTTATCATCTTGAAACATTAACAAACCCAGAAGAGAGTATCTATTTTCAAGACAACAGAGTATATAGCTTTAGGTTACACAAATACATACAATTGTACATATACATATATCCTTTTGCTTGAAAAACGAATTACATAACTAAACAGAAGATGCAGCTCAAAGAATACAGGGTCTCACACAAATTCAACTTGGCATCAAGAGTTTACAGCTATGACCCATGAGCCAAATCCAGTACTCCATGGTTTTGTAAATGAAGTTTTATTGGAATTCAGCTACCTATCTCCCTTCCTTTACATACTGTCCACTGCTTTTTAAATTTTTCAATGGCAGAACTGAGTTGTGGATATACTCTGACTCAGCCTAAAATAGAGATGGTGTATGCAAAAAGTATAAGTATTTTTCACCAAAGTTCCTGAACCAGTGTCATTGCATTAATACCTCCAGATCCAAGAGTTATCTTGCCCGCACGGCAAAGCCTGGCAAGCTATCTGTGATATATTTGATATGCCAAACACAGTAAGTCTCATAATGGTGACATTACTGGGTCCGCTCGAGCAAATCTATGAACAACGGGAGAACAGTGACAGTGACAGTGACCTCCAAATCACATTTGGAAACTCAGATAGTCTGCTTCAAATTTGTGCAGCCAAATCTAGGTAATTGTGGTATGATTAGAAAAGAACAGTAATCAAACTTTCTCCATGAAGAACAATATTTATATATCCATGTACAGGTAGATTAGATATAAGCTAACCAATTTGAAAGCAAGAAAACCTAAAGGAAAAAAAAACCCTCAAAATAATAATGCGAGGGAGTGTTATTTAGCACTTAGAAATAACTTAGTACATTTTTCTTTATATTTAAAGCATTAGTAGGATCCACAGCAGAGCAAAAACAATTTACAACTCACCACATTTTCCCCGTGAATTCTGTGACATTTTTGAATGCAAAATAACCAGCACTTCCAGAAAAATCAAGTTCTAATTAGTAATTAGGTAAGGTGGTAAATTAATGTTTTATTTCTAAAGTAAATATTTTAGTCACAGTTGCCATCAGAAATTGGGTATTCTTAAACTTTATGTATTAACTCGATTATAGTTACTGTACTGAAACACTGTTTAAAATATATTATAAAGCATTTTCCTCTTTAACTTAAATGAAATATAAAATTAAGAATTTTATCACATGGCTCAAACTGGAAAACATTTAAAATGGTATGCAATACTCTTACACAGAAAATGCCCCTCAAATACAAAAATGTCCTAAGGTATGAAAGTACCCAGTATTAGGTCCTTCATGTCTGCATACTTGCTGTCTCATTCCCTCCTACAGTCACAAAAATCCAGGTTTAAGGAGAAATTACATAAAGAGAATGTCAAGTGCAATCTTTCATCAACAGATCTGTAGCTCGGACACAGACTTTGGCAATGGAGAAAGAAATGATGATCAAAATTTCAAGCAACTTTTCAGTTTCACTGAAATCTAGCAAGCACAACCCTTGACTGCTCTTGATCTGTCACAGAGATCAGGACCAATAACACAGACAAGGAATATGTTTGCTTGACAGACCCAGTTTCCACTTTATCAAGAGCCATTTGCTCAAAGATGGACACAGGCTAGTGTTGGAGGCACACAGCAGCAGGCATGTGTGACCCACTACGAAGGAAGAATCCTTTGGGAACTTATTTTTCTGCACCGGGACTTCTTTAGTGCTAGGGTCATATCTCCTTGGCTTAATGACTTCCAAAAAGTCTTAAAAAAAAGAAACTGGAAACCGGTTTGAACCACAAAGAGTGATTCTGGGGCTGGAGAGATAGCACAGCGGGTAGGGCGTTTGCCTTGCACGCGGCCGACCCGGGTTCGATTCCCAGCATCCTATCGGGTTCTCTGAGCACCGCCAGGAGTAATTCCTGAGTGCAGCACCAGGAGTAACCCTTGTGCATTGCTGGGTGTGATCCAAAAAACAAAACCAAAAAGAGTGATTCTAAACTAATGAGAAATAAAAGTAGAACACAAAGGTATGTACAACATTTCTGGATTTTTTTCTTTTAAAGGTACAAAATGATAGATCAAATCTGTGCCTCTGTGCCCACCAGGCTGGGGTGTCAGTGTCTCGTGGAGGCATCTGGAAAGGAGCACTTTCAGGAGCTGAGTGAAAGGTCTTATCAATGTCATGAATTTTCAACCTGAGTAATGAGGTTTATAAAATACAAAGGCGATGAAGAAGAAGGAAAGCCTTCTCAGAAATTAAGTGGAACCAGAGTGAAAGACTGATCCTGGAGGACAGTATAAAAAAAAATTGTAACAAAAAGAAAACACAACACTGGCAAGTCATTTGTGGTGAATTTTAATTGCGTTTGGTCTTCAAAAAGGAAAGCAAACGGAAGCAGTGTTAGAAGTCGAATCTCATCATCACGAAACAGGTAAGGGGCGACGAAGACTCGCGGTTCCTTTTCAGTCTTTCCCTGCAGGTGCCTTGGCTCACCCCACTTCCTCGCTGGCGCTCCAGTCACTGGAGACACAAAGACCACTCGGGGTGAGGCTGTGTCTTCTTGTCTTGAGAAGTCCCGAAAACCCAGGAGGCTCCATTTACTCTGCACTTAACTCATCATGTCTAGCAGAGTTGCTCTAGGTCAACTCAGATCTTCCACTTTTTTTTTCTAACAGTGACTCATAAGTGGGCTTGTGCTATTTTTAGAAAAAACTTTTATTTTTTTTGGGGGGGGGGGGGAGAAATGGGACCAAAGACTTTCCCTTTGTCTTCCAAAATTACCATCATCTACCCATCACATTTAAAATTTTGAAATTGTTCAAGTAGTAAAAGATATTACAAGTTTTAAATATGTGCTAAAACTTAAGTTTCTTAAAGACTTAATGTAACAGACTCAACATACTTATTTTCTATGTATACTGAAACATCCTGGGGTGGCTATCATTTATGGATCATTCGCTAAACTGTGAGCATGATTGTGGTAGAAAATCATCGCCCTTAAAATATTTAATTTCATTTATTAAATCTTTTCCCAATTTAGATGATATATGCTAATAGGAGATTAAAAGAAAAACTATCCAAATGAGGAAATAAGCCTGCAGAATTCCAAGACAGACTTCCCGCACAAACATTATTTCATGAAATACTTAAATTCAGAGTAAATATTAGATAAGCTGTACTTCATCCAACTTTTACTGCTAGTGGAAGCTGTTCCTATTACATGTAAAGAAGAATCAAGTGTCCACACTCTGACAAAAATTCAAGGGAGAGAAAATGTATAAGCATTAGATATTTAGCTTACAATAGAGTTCTGGATAAAATTTAATTTCTTTCCACCAAAATATAAAGAAATAGCAATTTATTTAAAAGAAATACAACTGTAAAATCTACTGATGATAAGAGAAAGCCCAAATTTAGTGTAACGAATTACACCACACTTCTACCTCTAAAAACTAATTTGAAGCCATTCTGACTGTTTGTATTTCTATAAATAAATATCCTTGGAAAAAATAATAGTGGAATTTTTTTTTACATAAAATATTTGTGAAAAGTTTATTCATCTGATGATAATAAAGGACCCCCTGTTTCTTTTCCAGGGAGAATATTCATAAATTTCACTGTAATTTGTTTTTAATTTAATAAGTTATAAAAATAGTTTAGCTCATAAATTCAGAGCTGTATAATAGTAGAGTAAATTTTGCCAAGCCACTGAAATAAAGTTGTTACAACGAAGGATTCTATTAGATTTATGAGGTTAAAGTGGATAAAATTAACCCGGTTGATTTGCTGGTTTGAAAAAATAACCTCCTACCAGCAACACCAAGCTTTTCTCTTTGATAGGTTTCAAGGCAACAAACTGTGGCATTTTCCCCACTTTTTGTCATGCTACCAATACTAGACTGGACTGAACAACATGCAAAGTTCCAAACCCAGGCTCCTAGGCAGGGGTTATAGTAACAGCAGTTTAAACAATCCAATATGCACACAAGGGCTGCAAGAGGACTTCTATCAGATCATGCCCCCAGAAAAAAAATTAATTTAACCAAGAATTTCAATGACACAGAGTAGGATCTGAAATGGTTGCCAGTCTGGTCATCCAACGGGGAATTTGAAAATTCGAACAGGGATAGGTACATCCATCTCTGTTTTGTTGTGTTGTTGTTGTTTGCTTGTTATTTTGAATCTTCTTGCTGATGATGCAGTTATGCTGTTCCTGTATTTTAGTTCTGTTCACTCTGTTATTAAAAATGGAGAAAAAGGGATAAAAAATATGTAAATTTTTGCTTTGGGGCCACCCCTGGCAGTGCTGAGGGCTTACACCTGGTGCTATGCTCAGGGGTCACTCAGAGCAGTGCTTGGGGACCCTGTGTACTGCCAGGGATCAAACAGGGGCCAGCTGCGTGCAAGAAAAATACCGTAACTCGTGTACAATCTCTTTGACCCACAAGGTGTAAGTATTTAATCTGAAGGCGTCTCCACTTTGGAAGGAAAGCCCTCTCCTGCAAGATGCTCCATCTTGGTTTACTCTTCAGAAGTCTACTCACCAGACCTCTAAAAACAATGTGGTAACAGGCATAATTTTTCATGTGACCATTTACTAAGAATCAAAGCAAATCAGGTCTCTCTTACACATACCGTAATATGTTTTGGTCAGATAGAAAATGGAATCATTTCAAAGTTGAGACATCTACAAGTTGAAAAGTTCTGCAGGGAACAGTCATGTTTCACCTGCCATGTTAACTTAGGAGGTCCACTTTTTCCAAAGGTCCTTCTCCAGACTGAGTTCTTCAGGAGTCCATGTAAACAAAACACAGGTGAGAATGGTCTTTCTGGAGCTGCTTTCATCGAACAGCAGGGTTTCCTGAAAGTGTGGCATTGGCTAAATGTAACACAGGCAGAGGATGGGCCTCTGTGTTGAACACCCAGTGGTCTAAAGGTAAAAGGTCATCACCGGAGAAGAGCAGGTATAAATATCTGAAAAGCAAAGGAGAAAAACGAGCTGAATTAGTATTCAACAGGAACCATCAGAATGATCAGCAACGCACTTTGAGCGGCTCAGACAATGTACCCGGTCACCAAAATAATCTAAAACACAAAGACAAATGGATATAAACTCGCATGCAAGAGAATCCAGTACTGAGAACAAGAACGATGAAATAAGACTTTTTAAAATTCTGCGCGCCTGTCTGAAGCACACGAAGGAATGTATTCAGCGGCAAAAACACAGCACTTCGTCTTTTTCTTTTTGTAGTTCTTGGAGTGTGTACTGAAAACGATTAAATAACAATTCCAGAAACGTGAATTTACAGTAAATTTAATAATCTATTAGTCACCTAATGGGTACTAATTTTGTTTAGGATTCTTCTCTCTCCTCGAACACTGCCAGTAATAAGCGGTCACTTAAAAAACAAAATGAGAGAATGAAAACACACCACAATTCTTACCTACAATGGCTGGGAAAATTCCATTCTTAATTCTAATAAGTGATCATGAAAGTGAGCATAGAAAACACAGCTATGGAAAGCCAGGAAGTCTATGGTCTAATTCTTAATCTCAGCTCTAACTAGCTGGGTCATAGAAGGTCTTGGCGAAGAATTCCTTTATCGTATTTAGCACAAGCTGCTCTGATCCATGTGCAAATACTTCCATTCACAAACATTGTGACTGTGCAATTCCATGTCTTGGGTGAAGTATGGGCTAATGGCTCAGCCGCCTTCTAATCTCATTCCTCGAGGGAGTGGTGAGTAAAAGAGAAGAAAGAAAAAATGCTGAGCTGCCTGCAGAATAACTCATTTACAAGAATATGCTCTGAATATATTATATGAACAAAATGTTATGAATATCAGTAAAATAATAACAACAGAAAGTAGTTTCAAACCACCATTCTGTCTGTACTAAATCCTGCCGGGATGAATGGTTGGTCGCTCCCCTGTGCTGCTCACTCATATTCACTTGAAAACTCAGCACGTGACCTTCTAATGCAAACAGGATTTTTGCAGATGTAACTTGTCAAAGATCTCAAGATGAAATTATGAGTTTGGAATGTCCCCTAAATCGAACTGGAAAGTTGGACCCAGAGACAGAGAAGGTCATATGAAGTTGGAGATAAAAGCTGAAGTTACGCGGACAGCCACGCAACGCCTTTCGAAGGGTCTGAGTTTTGAATTCCAGAAGGGAGGAAGTAAACTCTGTTAAACAAGAGTCTGTCATAATTTGCTACAGTAGCTCCAGAAAATTACCTAGTTCAGCTTCTACTCCTACTTTCTAGAATACTTCTAAACTCCCCGCTAATGGTAATGATATTAAACGAGAGTGGGGCTGGCACTAGCAAACCCCAAAATTATGAGAACAAACTTCTGGCTGCCAAAAGGGAAACAGGAATGGGTTGGCAAACTGGGTCAAAGGGCTTAAATGTATGGGGGGGGGGGGGGGGAGTGGGGAGGGACTAGATTTTTGGTGGGGCTCAGAGTGCAGCATAAACAGATGGACAACGGTGATGATGTAACCCTGGGACCTATGTAATGGTAAAAGCCAATGTCACTTCAATAAAAATAAATAGAATTTTATTTCCTTTTAGATTACAGTGAGAGAAGTCATCTCTAAGGACTGAGAAATTTTGTAGATGAAAAGTCAACTAAATGTCAGGCAAAAATTTAAGCGTCTTTAGAAAAGCAAACACACTGTCCAAACACTGTCCTCCCGTTTTTCATCGATTTGCTCGAGCGGGTCCAGTAACGTCTCCATTGTGAGACTTCTTACTACTGTGTTTGGCATATTGAATACTCTCGGTAGCTTGCCAGGCTCTCTGAGAGGGGTGGAGGAATCGAACCCAGCTCGGCCGGGCTGGCTGCGCGCAAGGCAAACACCCTACCGCTGTGCTAACAAGTGAGGCTATAAAAAAAAAAACAAAACAATAAGTTGTTTATGTTTACTTATCAAATGAACCTTGATCAATCTTTTTATAACCACAATTAGCCATGTCCAGTGTATTATGGATGTTACAATTCTAAAGAGACTTACTTGAAGGAGATAAACTAAAAACAAAGCAAAATAAAACCCTTTAATTTTTCTGAGGAACTTTTATTTCATTTATACTTCTTTTTTTTTTTATAATTTATTTATTTATTGAATCACTGTGGGAAAAGTTACAGAGCTTTCGGGTTTAGGTCTCAGTCATGTAGATACCGAACACATTTCCCTTTACCAATACTCATTTTTAACCCCGAACCCCAATAGACCCCCACCTCCCACCCCTCCCAATTCTTGTGAGGCAGATGAGTTCTAGTTAATACTCTATCTACTTTGACTAGATAGATTATTTCGATAGAAGATGCACAATTATTGTTTAGAGTTTACGACCCACCCCCCACAATCAGACATGCTGAAACAGCGTTGTGAAATGATTTGCTTTCTACAACTTGGTTTAAGAATAAAATGAGGCCGCGCGGTTTTGAATTTCTGCTATTTTACTTATTGACCCTGGAAGAATTTCTATTAAAAGTTAGCTAGTTAAGAGATTGGTTTCTGTGCCCTGGAGTCGTGGCCGTGCCGGAGAGCCACTCGTGGGGGGCAGCTGGCGACCTCGGTGGGGCGTGGGGGACGGCCCACAAAGCCCCCCTTCCCATGAGGTCCCCGCTGCTCCCCCGAGCCCGGCTCAAACCTGCTTTCCACAAGGCTCCCATGCGGCCGCCATCTTTCTTTCCAGAGAGGAGCCTCATTTATACTTCTAACACTTAAGTTTCTAGAAATAAAATTTCAATGACATATTCATTGGGCCAGAGAAATAACATAGGTGTAGGGTGCTTGCCTTGCATGCAGCTGAAGCCAGTTTGATCCCAGCACCTGATATGGCCCCAGGAGCACCGTCAGGAGCATGTCCTGGGCATTACCAGATATGCCCCCTCTCCACCAAAAATAAAATCAAACCAAAACCATGATTTTTCAGCAGAAATTATAAAGAATGATATATTAAAATATGGAGTCGTGCTTTCCCCACTTTTTTAAATCTTAAAAGTGTTTTCTTTTGGGGGGGGCGGGGTATAGGGGAGAAAAATGAGAACATACTGAAATATATGCTAGTATATTATGAATCTGAATGTTAAAAATACATGCAATTTAAGTTTCTTTTCTTTTTTTTTGCTTGCTTCAGAGGCATTTAAGGCTACACTGGACAGTGCTATATAATGCCAGGGAACCGGCTCAGGGCCTGTGCACACCAGGCGTCTACTCCAGCCCTCAGATCCATCTCCCAGATCTTTACACATAGAATCATTTCTGACACACTGCAACGGTTTACGCCTTATCCTGATACTGAGATGTTTTCTGATTTGTATGTATATCTATTAAAAAACTAATTAAAATCACAGCCAGTGTTATCAATATAAATCTGATCCTGAAATTAAGTGTTGAAATGTAAATATCAAGGAAGACAGCGCTCCAATTTACCTGCCACTGTGGAGAGTTAGCTTAGGTGCTTTTCTCTAATCTGTAATTACCCCTTTGTCAAAAGATTGGACTTTAATTTTTCCTTTGTATTAAAGCAATTAACTAACACTGATGGCCACTATAATCAGCATGTGAATTTAAAATGAATGTATAGTAAAATGGTGTTGCCTGATCAGCACACTGACATTAGGCAAGTTATCACTACTTCCCAGAACTAGCATGTAGCGGATCATATCACCTGGCTATGTAGAAAGGAGAGGGAGCTTCTTATCTTTGCAGCTGCCCGTGATTCAACTTGTACTCTGGTTTAACATACACTCAAGGATAAAAAAAAGCTTACTTTCTCTGTTACATTTCTGAAGGGATTTTCTGGGCTGGCAGGACATTTTAAAAAACTTCCCCAATGTAGTGTTAAAAATGGAGTTGCATGGCCGACCCAGGTTCAATTCCCAGCATCCCATATGGTCCCCCCAGCGCCGCCAGGAGTAATTCCTGAGTGCATGAGCCAGGAGTAACCCCTGAGCATCGCCGGGTGTGACCCAAAAAATGGAGTTGTTTATGGTAAGTCTCACAATATCAAACTGAGACTTCAACAGTTTCGGCTCGGGCTGGAGCACAGCGGGTACGGTGTTTGCCTTGCACGCAGCCGACCCCGGTTTGATTCCCAGCATCTCATATGGTCCCCCGAGTATCGCCAGAGTAATTTCTGAGTGCATGAACCAGGAGTAAGCTCTGTGCAACACCATGTGTAACCCAAAAAGCCAAAAAAAAAAAAAAAGTAGTTGTAGCTGTACCAGAAATGGGACTGAAACCATTTAATAGGAAACTGCTGATATTCCCTAGTCAAGTAATCTACCTGACAGGCCCCTCGATCCCCTAGACAAAAAATAACCTTGCAATCACCAACTGCCTTTTCTGTCTACTATCACTTCTTTCTTCTATTCCCTTAGGCCCATCAAAGCCTTTTATTTCATTTCATTAACCTCAACTTTATTAAATTTATCTTTATTGAAAAATTTAATATTAAATTTAAAAAATTGAGATTCTATGATTTCCAATACTGTTAATGATGGTTTCTCCTGCACATAATCCCCCATCATCAGTGCACTTACCTCCCTCCCCCGAGAAGCCCAATCCCTCTCCTTTACATCCGGCCCCACAACGACTCAATTCTGTGGCTCAATTCTCCTTTCGTTTCTTTTCAGTTCCCGAGAGCTCTGTTTCTATGAGATTAGATGTTGACCAATTCACGAGTTACTGAATGAAATCAATAAAATACTCAGCTCAATTCTGTCTTTGAAACAGCAGCGTCAGAATTTTCAAGAGTTTCTTGGCTTTTGATTTTTCACATCTACACACACACAGACACACACACACACACACACACAGACACACAAAATTTAAAGTCATAAACTTAAGGTAGACATTGTATAGAGGTATGGGTTTATTTTTATAGTCTAAGGAGTTTATAGTAGCATTTCATGATGCTCATGATTTGTTAAGCATCTTTTTTGCTAGATAACCACTCG